CCCCAAAACCCCAAAACCCCAAAACCCCAAAACCCCGGTGGCCTATTTAAGCATTGATATCAATTAATAAAATTTACAAATAAAATGAGTAAAAGAAGCAACATGATTGATAACCCAAGTGGTAAGCTCCTTGAAAGAGCTAGAAGGCTTGTAAGTTCCCATATTCATAAACCTTCATGACAGTGATTTCTCTTAAATCGAAGGAATGGAAACTCTTTGAATCTCTGCGCAATTAACCAAATATTAAACCCGAGTGTAGAAGAGACAAAAGAAGTAAAATTACAAGACCATACCACAAAGGAGCAGGAACATGAACTGGCTAAATCCTCCACTCTTGATGAGGTCTCTAAGAAACTCGAGAATCTTGCTAAAGATCTAGCTAAAGCGGAATGTGATCTTTTTAATGCCCAAAAATGCTTGAAGGAAATGGAAAAATCCCGTGAGGAAGCCCAAAAATTAAAGAAGCAAGCTGAAAACTGCCTGGTAAATTTATCAACATCTCTAGATTTGGCCTGTAGAGACTATGACGTTGCTTCACCCCTTGTACAACACACCACAGCAGAGGTAGAGAGGATAAGACAAGAGATTCTTAAGTGTCAACAAAAATATGATAAATTATCTGAACTTGAAGCTTACGAAGAGAGCAAAACAAAAGATAATAAATCCTCAGAAATGGCCCAAAGAAGATCTAAATCCCCAAAAGACGAGGATGAAAACAATAATGTAGTAATTGAACACTTAAAGGCTGAAAATAAACGCTTAAAGGCTGAAAATAAACGCTTGAAGGCTGAAAATAAACTCTTAAAGGCTGAAAATGAACGCTTAAAGGCAGTCATTAAAGAACTAGGTAGAGAGCTCGCAAAAATAAAAGCGAGGTTCATGAAATTAGAGCTCGAGAAATCAGAAGAAGATGGCAGAGAACTACAAAAAGTTTTTGCAAAATCAAAATCCCCTTAGAAGAGAACTTTACTATATATGCAAACTTTAATATCGGAGTAAATTTTATAACATGTTTCAATTTTCACCTCATAAATCCCTTGCCCCTCTCTGCTTCATGTTCCTCTTCCTCCAAAATTCCACGCTCCTCAGAAGCAGCAGGTTGACCTTCACCTTATGGTTTTGGCTCAGCCAGCACATGGCTTTAGAACAGGGCTTGGCCTGGCTAAGCCAGTAGATCTCTGACCAAAGCCAGTGAACAATCCGTGGCTTAAGAAATCATTTGGGGATTTTAGAGGAAGAAGTTTTAATGGGGAGATTGTTACGTTTAAAAGGGAAGTATTGGTAAAATTAGTAATTGGGTTAAGTATTTAAAGCATTGGCTTGTTCGAAGAATTCTCTATCGAGAGAACTCCAATGCCGTGCATCTAAGAGGAAGTCGAAGGATGCCTGCGGTGTGAACAAACCTCAGTTATAGCTTTTGAGAGAGAAAATAAGAATGTTAAAATTCAAATTTAATTAATTTAGGATATATGTTGCTAAGTTAAAGTTATTACCATCAATATCCAACTGAGATAGTTCTTTTTCACTATCATTGTTCCGTTTAAGGTTCATTTTTAAACCTGTTTTGCTGATACAAGAGATTTTATATTAAATTAAAAGTTTCCAAAATAGATTTAGAAGGGAGTTTAGGCATATTTTGACTATTTTAGAATAGTTTAAATCCAAACTTGAGCTATGGCAGTACTTTTTGTATTGATCATCCACCTCCCATTGTTAATTCGACAACAAAATCTTAGTAGCCAGTATATATAACAAGAAAAATCCAGCGAAATAAAATGCGCGAAAATAAACAAATCAGGGATGCGTTTAAACTTTTCTGGAGGTCTAATTCTCTCACCTCGATTCAAATACTAAACATTTTCTAAAATATTCGAGTGAAAGTAACAATTTTGACAAAATTTTGTGCTAAATATCTGTTGGAAATATCAAATTTTCCCTTGAAAATTATGGGGTTTTGGGGTTTTGGGGTTTTGGGG